ATAAAATAATAGTTAAAAATTGCCAATTAAAATACAATTATCAATGATGCCTTAAAATTGACGCTATATTTACAGCCATTTAAGCAAAACGTACTGAACTTCAGACATCATTTTCTCTTTGGCGTATCATCTAAAATCTCTTCATTTTAGCAATATTTTACAGATAAAGCACTAAACATACTTTTTAATGTTTTTTTACCGATTGAGAAACGTATCGAAAAATAAAAATTTTGATTTTAGTCATAATCTCATGTGGTATATTATACGCATTAGTTTTGAGCGCATGTTTAATACGTAACTTACAAAAAATCTCATTTAAAGATTTGGGAACAATGCTATACCAAGGCAGCATTCACTACCCTGTGGGTAAACAAGTTATAAATCAATTCATGTGTTCCAATGTTTACTTCCGCATTTTACAGTGTTGCTTCAAACCTCTGTTTTACAGCTCTGTATTTAAACCTTCAATCAGCTTCATATATCACTCCATGTTCATGGCTTCACGATATCACGACGATTGGCAATCAAGTAAGAAAACAGTGTTACAAAGAAACGCGTATATGTTTGATAACGAATTAATGAGCGATGTATCTTTCACTTGTGGGAAATCAAGTCGCATATTTCATGCACACAAATATGTGCTTGCTACGAGCAGTGCTGTGTTTTTTGCCATGTTTTACGGGAATTTAACCGAGAAAGAATTTCCTATTTGTATCGATGACGCGGAAGAAGAAAGCTTCGAAAAGTTTCTGCGATTCCTCTACACTGACGCTTGTAAAATAACGACCAAGAACGCGATAGGTGTTATGTATTTGGCTAAGAAGTATCTCGTTTCGTCTTTGGCGGAGAAGTGTTGCGAGATTCTAGAGGCAAGCATCAAGCCTGATAATGTCTTCGCGGTGTTGGAGAAAGCCGTGCAATTTGATGAAAAAGAGTTAGAAGCAAAGTGCTGGAATATTGTTTTGGAGAAACCTCAGGAATGCGTCAACGCGGAAGCGTTCTGTAGTATCGGATCAGCCACGCTCAATGCTTTTTTAAAGAAAGAGACGTTCTCGATAACAGAAATGGAATTGTTCAAAGTAATATTGAAATGGACCGATGAGGAATGTGGAAGACAGGGTATAAATATCGAACATGACAAAACGGCAAGAAGACGCATCCTAGGAGATAGTGTTTATG